GACAAAGTTGAACGCGTCTTCTGAAAAGCTGAGAAAGCTTCGCCTAACTTACGTCGGAAATTCCGGCTTTTTGAATCGGTGGACGCGTCGCCTTGGCTTTTTATAGAGTTATCGATCATCGCCAACACACACACTCTGAAGAATTCCCATTCTTGAACATCGTCTCCGGCCCTTTGAAATTTAACTCCATCCACCCCTTCTCTTTGAACACTTTTGAAAAATGGCAAACCCATCAAACCTTAGCTTGGAATTGAGCCTTAGCAGTGATACGGGCGCGCCGCGTCAAGGTAACGTATGGCGCCCTTCTTTCTTATCTTCTAACGGTCCTCTTTCAGGTGAAGACTCTGTGATGCAGGACGCCACAACAGCTACAATAGTAGCTAGGAACCTCCTTACTCCAAAAGATAGTAGGCTGCTGTCAGGACGGTCCGATGAGTTGGCCGTTCAAGAATCCCTCGCACTTAGTGTTCAGTGTGCGAGTTCTGTGTCCAACATGGGCCAACGCCTGCTTGCCCGCTCCCGTCAGGTGGAATCATTGATGGCAGAGGTGGAAAGTCTCAAGCAGGAGATCAAACTGCTTAAGTACGAGAATAGAAGTTTGCACGTGCTTGCCAACAACTATTCGACGGGTATGAAGAGGAAGCTTGATGAGCTACAAGAATCCAATGGTCGGATGCAAAGTGACCGTCAAACTGACCGTCAAAGGCTTGCGGCTTACTTCCAGAGGCACATTTTTCCGGGCTCATCCAGCGTTTGGCCAAGTATTGAGGCCTCTTCTTTGATGCCTCCCGCTCCGATACCTTCCGCCCCGATGCCTTCCGCCTCGATGCCTTCTGCTCCGATGCCTTCCGCATCTATGCCTCCTGCTTCTAGAGTTTTGCCCAGTAGTGGGGCTTCAAGTAAACGCCCTTTGTGAAGCTCCATCATTCTGCCATGTTTTTTTTTTTTTTTTTTTTTTTTTTTTTTTTTTTTTTTACATAAATAAAATCAAACGGCATGGAATTGGTCCTTGAATGGAAGGTGATACTTGAAGTGAACCGGCATTGGTTCAAATTCTAAAGTGGGTGCCTGGATCATTAACAACATATTAGTATAAAAGAAAATTGAAATTCGGGGAGGCGGCTTACCTGTGTGCTCCGACATAAACTCAAGAATAAACACCACTCGCTGGAAAGTTTCAGGGATATTGGACTTGGCCAGATTGCATGTGAGTATTGGTCCTTGTCTTGTGTCATAAAATTCAATTTCTTTGTTTGCCTCAAGTATATCCTTTTCTAGACATTCCCCAGTCACATCTTGCTCTTGATTCTTTGGAAAGGATTCGAAGATGCCTTTCTCACCCTCTTCTTCCTTGGATTGCATAATCCTGCAAGGAATAGGGACATTCAGTGGAACGGGGTTAGAAATAATTAACTTTGGAACAACCTTACCTGAATTGGATGGCGTAGGAGCGATAGGTGCCTGCGGCAAAGGTGTTTCCACCCTTGCCATAGGTTGCGTGTGTTCCTCTTCCTCAATTAGCAGCTCCTCATCCACTTCTTGCTCTTGAATTTGTTTCATGAACTCCATAATCTGCCCAATTTGCTCCTCCCATTTACCCAACTTCTTGTCTTGATTTTGTTCGTCCTTGGTTTGAGTTTGGACTTCCTGCGTCAAAGTAGTAAGTAATTGAAAAATCGTATCATTATCGCTTGAATTACTTACATTGCTTTGGGCAGGTTGTGGTGGCTGCATAGGCGTTGAATAGAACTCCTCATACGGCTGCCAATATCCTTCTTGTTGAGCCTCATTGTCTTGATTTTGTAAGCCCTGCACCAAACAAATTAATTCATCAAGCTTTTGGTTATAATTTATTGATGAACTTGAGTTTGGTTGGGCATATTGAATATGAGGTTGTGGTGGCTGCCAATATCCTCCTTGTTGAGCATTTTGAGGTTCCCACCACATAGAGTTTGAATGATCACTCCAATCCGAATTGTAAGTATTGGAAAACACGTTATTCCTTGATTGAAGATTAGATATATCAACTCTTTGCATTTGGGACCTTTCCATGAGCTGTGACAAAAGAGAAGCGTTATCAAGTGCCATGTTGTTCTTAACAAACAAAACACAAATAAAAACAAAAACTAAATCTAAAAGACAATACAGAAACAAACAATCCAAGGGATTAGCAAATTTTCTAATCCCCGGCAACGGCGCCAAAATTTGATGCGTGATTTATACGCACACAAATTAAACCCTCTTTTTGACAATTGTAGTATAAGTATAAGTAGGGATCGTTCTGGACCGGGGATTAGGAGGGATTGTTAATCACTTGGATTTGACTCAAAAACGTAAAAACACAAACTAAAACACTATACTAAACTCGAAGAATTCAAAACTAAAAATAAGAAAGATTAAGACTAAGACTTAAACGAAATATGGGGGGATTGATTTTGGACGAATTTAAACTAAAATGGATAGATTGTAAAGAAAACAAATTGTAAATATGAAATTGACGGAAATGAATGGATGGTATGGCTAGCTAAGGGGTTCATCTCCATACATGTTACACTTGCATAATAAAATGATTTCTAATTGTATTTCAATAAACCATGAATTCTCAACACCCCGGGTTAATTAGGTCCGCTTAAATTAACCGTCAAGTTTTCCTTAAGTTAATGAATTGGATGATTGCATACGACAACCCAAAGCATTCCTCACAAGTTCCCTACATGAATTGCATAATAGAGATACAAGCAAGAATCATTAAGCATCATGAAAACTATAAGTGTTGACGAGGCATTCGTTACTATGATTGCATGAAACTTATGCCAAGAATTTGTTTAACGCGATTGTTTATAAGCAACCTCCACTACTTGTGAATATAAGTTCATAACTATTACGTGAAACTCACTTATATTCTAGCGTCAAATTCATGCATGAAAATTAAGCGTTCATTCTTAATAAACATACATAAATAGGTTATCAATCAAACAGTTAAACAAATTGAATTCACAATTTATGAAACGTAATTAAAAGTAATCAAATCATATTACAAACATAAACATAATTTCGAATCACCCCCAAGCTAAAGGGGGGTTTAGTTCCTCATACAAAACAAAGAGAATTGAAATTAAACATTGAAATCAAAGAAACGCCTAAACATTCCAACAACTCAAACTTGAATTGTATGAACGTTTAGGCCCTCTTCTCTTCCTCTTTATTGTAGCATAAGGTCTAGGGATAATTGGTTTGGGGGATGGAAGTGTGGAATGGAAAAATGGTGTTTGGATTATAAGGGGAGAGATGGGAAGCTCACGGCTAGGGAAGGGAGAATGTGTTTGTAATGTGTTGTGTATGAAAATGAGATGTTCATGAATGAATGAATGCAAGGGTATTTATAGGAGTAGTGGAGGGAACATATGGCTATGTCATTTGTAGGTGAAGTAGGTGGATGTTGTAGGTGAAGTAGGTGGATGTTGTAGGTGATTATGAGTGATAAGTGATAAGTGTATGATATGTTAAGTGATAAGTGAATGATTATGATAAGTGATAAATGAATGTATGATATGATAAGTGGTGAATGATAAGTGGTAGTGTTTAAGTATTTAAAATAGGGAACAAAGCCCTTCCTTGCATGGCAAGGAAGGGAGACACAAGGAAACACACGACAATGTCCTAAGGTTGCTAGGAATGTTGTTTTTGTGTTCTAAAATGCGTAGGAGTTTTCAATGATGCTCAAACATGAGGTCTTTTTAGGATTTAACTTTCCTACTTCAAGTCTTCAATTTTGTCCAAACTTTGGCTCCATGGATAAGCTATCCAATCCATGCCCAAAAATGCTCCAAATAGCCTCAAAATGCACTTTCTTGCTCCCTAAGCCCTTAGAACCTGAAAACACACAAAAGAAGCATAAAGAACTAAAATAACTAAAGAAACATAACGTAAATGTACGAGAACAAGCCATTTAAGTCGCATGAATATGCTCCTATCAGGCGTTGCCACTCCTAGTTGTGTTTCTTTTGGACCTTGGAGCCATTGAATCAAAGATTGTGACCTGTCTCTAGTGAAGTCGCCAATTTATGTTGGGGGATGTTTAGGTCAAGACGGACTTGGGCTTTGAGAACGTCCATTGTCTCCCTTGGTTTGGTTTCGTACCAAGTCCTGGAATATCTCGAAAAAGTTAGCTTGTCTTAGGAAATATCCCCGTTAGATCAATGACTTGAAGATTCACATGATTAAGTAAATAATGGCTTGCTCAAGTGAGGCATAGTGTGGAAGCTAGAAGTTCATCAATTTTGCATAGAAGTTCATCAATTGAGGCATGGTGTGAAAGGTGTGGAAGCTAGAAGTTCATCAAGTGAGGAATGATTCATTCCCAAGGAATATCTAGTTATGACTTGTTTCTTAATCCCCTTTCTCCTTAGTTCTTCTGCTACCCTCTATTTCGGTGCAAAATGGCTAGGTCCTGCCAACCTGTGAAACTTGCATTATGCCTCCCCAAGACACTGCTTTCTTGAGTCAACTTTCTGTGGGCGGTACTTTTGGTAACGCACCTCATGGCTTTCAAGCGTTGAACTTCTGCATGAGCTGGATAGGGGAAATCAACCTTTGTCTTCATTAAATGCCTATTTTGTTGAACTTTCAAGTGAGCTTAGAGCTAAGATTTGGTTTCTTTCTAATTGGATTGGTTAGCTTGCTAGGGAAATAGGTAAACTAATTGCTAGGGAAAGGGGTCTCTCTCAATGCTTGCTTTTGTGGGCTACAAGGGTTATGAGCTTGGATTTTTGGGCCCCCAAGCAGCCCAAAGTCCTCCATAATCTTGACTCCACATGGGTCCAATAAACTTATGTAACCATCTACACTACAATTCACTTGACAAGCCTGAGCATGTGACTTGGGTTTATTTTAGCATGACGAATAGGCATGTGCATGGCGTGATTAATATAAATTCTGGTTTAATAACCGTAGCATGACATGATTGTGAATATATTCCTTTCTTGATCCCACATCTTTGCATGTATATAGGCTTGACTTGGGACTCGCGTGAAAATTGGGCTTTGAGACTAGGTCGGGCTTGCTCAAGACATTTTTTTGGGCCTCAACAGACATTTTTTGTGCAAGTGAAATCACAAACATGTCCATGGGGATATTAGTTTATGTCACTACTTAACACTTGTAACTTCATAGATGTCCAATTTTCAAAATATTAGGTAGATATTTGAAATGTTTTTAAAAAATTGGTACCAATATGAAATCACCTTGAAAAAGTGGATGATTATCCGTACTTAACCGTAGAGGTGGGTTGGGAAAACTGAAAAGAAAAAAAACCAAATCCGAATACTGAACCCAAAAAAAAAAAGAAAAGTTAAAAAGAGGAATAAAAAGAATTGAAAGCGAAATAAAGTAAAATTAAAGAGAGAAATGAAAACAAAAGTGAACTTTTTGGAAGTGAACCCCCTGCTCTGTTGTAATCCGTGACCCTTCTGGAAACAACCTCCGTTTGCTTTCCCCTTCCTTCCAACTTCTAACCAAAACCCAAATCCGAACGCATCACCCAAACCCAAAAGCTTGACCTTTTAATCATTAATAGGTCCAATTTTTTTTTTCTTTTTTTATATATGTTTTGCATTCAATCGTTAATATTGACCACAAACAAACCAAGATTTGATCAAGCCTCACGATCTTCAATCAATCAATCCTCAACCGTCTGATGATTTGATGACTCCGGCGTTGGCATTCGCCGGCGTTTCTGGAGACCAGAGCTCCGGTGCACCCCCATCAGCAGCAACAAGCAAACCTCAATATCGGTCAGATTTCTCGGCCCTTCTCGTTTGATTAAACTGGGTTTTCGTTGCCAGATCAGTCCGAGCAATATTAAAGTTTGTCAAGCACCATGGACTCGTCAAATTCGGGGATGCACCTTCGAATTCGAAGGAGTTAAACTCCAGTTTTAGCTTCAATACCCCGCCCGTTTCACGGCAGGGGTCGGGGCTTTCGAGGCCAAGGCTTGCGAAGGTGAGGAGGGGCTCGGCCTTTCAGGTTTTGAAGCCGGCAGCCTCTCAGGAAACTGAGTTTTGTCCCGCATTTAATCCGTTTCGAACGTCTTTGGAGAGTTGGAATCCAGTCTCATCCGGGGCAGAAGCCGGAACTTCAGCTTCTGGGGCATTTGGGACCCCTAAGACTGGGAATGAGGCAAAATTGTTTGGGGCCCATAGGATTGATCCGACTGTGAATTCGGGGAAATGGGATTCTAGTGGAGGTTTGGGGAAAGGAGTGATTGATGAGATGAGGAATTTGAAAATTGGGAGCGGCAATGAGTTTTTGAATACCAAAGTGGGTGCTTTCACTTTTAATGCAAGAAGTTTGAATTCAGCTCCGGGATTGGATAAAGGTGGTTTCGTTTTTGGAAATGGTAATAAGAAGAACTCTAGTATTGATGAAAGCATTGTGTCAAAGCTTCCCAAGGATATGAGGAAATTGAACATTGAAGGTGCTGAGAAGCGTGAATCTGTTGAGGCAGGTAAGGATCAAAAGTTTAATTTCAATGCTAATGATAAGACCAAGTTTGGTTCGGGTAGTATCGACAATGTGGATGGTTCTTTGGGCCAAAACGTGGAACCAGAGCTACCAAATGAGTTGAAGAAGAGATTGAACATTAAAGAGACTGTGCAGCTGGATCGAAGTACTGACAGGCCTTCTGCCGATGATGTGAATAAGTTTGCCTTTGGAAATAGTAAAAAGGATAGTTATTCATTAGCCGGAACCTCAGAAAATGTACTTCCAGATAAGATGAAGAATCTGAACGTAAAGGATACTTTTGATGGAAGAAAAGGTACTCTTCTGTCATTTAATCTACCTAACAACAATTTGGTCACTTGTTCAGTACCTACAGTTTCAAATAATCTTATTCTTATTGATGTAGATCTGGCTATGGCTACAGAACGTCTGGATATAAATGAAGTTGATGCAACAAACAGAGAAGCAAAAGAGGGCAGTTTTGAGTACCGTCACGATGGTAGTGTTGATGCTGAAGGCACTCTTGAAGGATCTATGTCCGAGGTTGAAACTGAAAGCTTTAAGTCTACAGCTGAGGAGTTAGACTTTAATGGTGATAACTCCCATACTTGGGCAGAAACTGAAGCCAGTTCAGGCTCATACTTGGAGAGCCATGATACTGACGGAAGGATGCACATTGGTTTCCCTTCACGGACAGACAATAGAAGTGGGTCTAACTTCTCCTCTGCTGCCTCTTCTGCTGCTCAAAGTCAAGTATCTGCATCAAAACGCCTCCAGAAAAAGAAAATTCTGGTAAAAGCGGGTCAAGAGACCAATACTGTAGTTCCAAATTTTAAGATTCCATATGCATCATCTTCTTCACAGTTTTTGCCCTATTCTGGCACTTCAGCACATATGTCACCGGGACATTATCAGAAAATAGAGTCATCTAACCCACAACGCAGACATGGAGATAATTCTGGAGTGCGTAAGGAACAGGAGTTGAAGCAAGAGACTGTTTCTTTCTCTGCTGAAGCAGCCGCAGCTCAGGAAGCATTTGAAAAGTGGCGACTAAGGTCAGAAGTTATAATCACTTTAATCATCTTTGTTTATGTTTAAATTCATTGTATGACGTTCCTTTTAGTTATATTTGGGCTTCTGCGTGGAGTAATATACCTCTGTGCTAAAGAGTAGCTTCTTTTTGTTGAATGTGATACATTTCCAGGGGAAACCAAGCTTACTCTAATGGGGATCTGCCTAAAGCTGAGGACTGCTATACACAATGAGTAAATTGTGTTTCTAGAAATGTGACATCTAGAAGTTGTCTTAGGGCATTAATGCTATGCTATAGCAACTGTTTAGCAACACGTATGACTCTTGGAAGAATAAGAGATGCACTTGGGGACTGTATGATGGCTGCTGCAATTGATCCCAACTTCCTCAATGTGCAGGTTAGAGGTTCCAAGTGAGTATCTCTTTACTATTTGATATTTTTTCTTTGGAATCTCCATCATGAACTTCTGCACTAATGCAGCTTCATTTTTCATTCATCTCAATTTCGGACATAAAATCGGATGAGTTATGCAAACATCTCATGAGATCTAGTACGTTTTTACTGACAGTTCACTTTACAATATTTAAACAACTCTTGGTATAATTCTTGGTTAATTTTGAATATGATTTATTGCTAGAATTTTGTAGTTACCAGCACATGTGCAATATTGAGTAGTTGATCTTGGATTGTATGGTTCTAATTAAGATATTTTACTGGCTCTCAAATTTCCACTTCTCATAATTTGCATCTGTTGTTGTGCTAGTTTTGTGATTAGTCATATTTGATTTCCTATTGAATGTGCCTTGTTGCTTTAATTTTTGAGTTCGGGCATAGAATTTCTGTGTCACAAATCCATAATTGCTTTTATTTTCATATAATAACATGAGCTTCCCTCATTGCATCTCTTCTTAAAATTGTTAAAGCTGTTATCTTGCTCTTGGGGAAGTTGAAGGTGCTTCACAACATTTTAGGAGGTGCCTGCAATTAGTAAATGATGTCTACGTGGACCGAAAGATTGCAGTAGAAGCCTCTGATGGCTTACAAAACGCACAGGTATGTTAAAAGAATGATTGAGCCTGAGAAAACTATAACCACAAAATATATTGTTGACACGTTACTGATACAGGGGGTGGGAGATTCTTTATTTTATTCTAGTCTTAATATTTCAGGGTGAGGAAGTTGAAAGGATTTTATAATTTTTCGAAATTCAATACGTTTACATTCTTGTCAGAATTTTGCCTTCATGTATTTGTACCACATGAAGTGAGCCTTGATCCTGTAAACTGCCGTTTTCCTTTTACTAGTAGGGGTTCTCGTGGTTCCTATGCCGCCACGTTTCCTATCCTATTTATGTGGCTCGTTTACTAATTTGTAATCGAAATAAGAGGACTTGAGTTGATGTTGATTGGAATTGAGAAGTTGTAATGGGATATAGTCAGAAATCGAATTCCTATTATAGTTTTTTACTAAATTTTTCTGGAATCAGTTAAGAATATCAATTCCATGTAAGTTATATACTAATTTAGAAAACCAATATAATTACTAAAGTGCTTCATTAAATAAAATAGAGAATTGTTATGGGCATTCTAAAAATTTTAAAAGTGCACTTCAAAGTTTTTATGAGACAATGTAGGTTATTGACATGTACAATAGGTGCCCCTACACAGGCCCCAATCCTAAGAACCCCTTAAAAGATCATATCATCTACATATCTACCAACTTGGTTTGTGATTTCATCGCTATAAAATTTTCTAGATTCTGCATGTGAATAAGAGAAATGTGGTATCTATATGCATAAGAGGAGTCTCTAGTTCAGCTTTGCCATCATTGCGTTTTTATTTATTTATTTTCTAGATTTTTGTTGATTTGAACTATAACTCACAACTTATACTCCATTTAGATCCCTTATTAATGCAACTATAAACGTATAAATTAGCTTTGTAGCAAAAAAATTTATATAAGGGCCCATTTATTATCTTCCGCACAAGCCCCTAAAATCTCAGAATTGACACTGTTATGATAGTACACAATTAGATTTATAGTCACATCCCGACCCGGGCTCCCACCACATTCTGGGCTCAACTCTACCGTAGCATGATATCGTCCGCTTTAGGCCTCCACCACGCCCTCATAGTTTTGTTTTTGGGAACCCACACAAGAACTTCCCAGTTAGTCACACATCTTGGGATTGCTCTTGCGCAAACTTGCTTAACTTCGGAGTTCCGATGAACTACGAAGCCAGTGAGCTTCCAAAAAGCTTCGTGCTAGGTAGAAATAGAAATATACATATAAGGCTTACAGGATCCACTTTTCTGGACGATATAGGATGTTACATTTATGAAGTGTCAATAATAATTGCCCCCATAAAATATTGTATATGTTAATTCATAGAGATAATAAAAATGTCTTTTTTTCACCAAAAACATTATTTTAATAAAATTGTAATTTAAAAAGAACCGAACAAAATTATTTTAATCACGAGCCATATATTTGATTCTAATAAAGTTTTAATTTTTCTTCAAAAATGTTTTTAATTATTATAACACTGTGTGTATGAAGTAGATTTTTGTTTTTTTGAGAGAAGTTGGAGAGAAATATGAAAGAAAGGGAGTGAAGAAGAGAAAACGTGGGAATGGAGAGATGTTTATATATATATTTTTGTTTTATAAAATTAGAAATATGTTACGATGATATATGGGTGAAAAAAAATAATAAAATTTGGTATGTGCAAAATTACATTAATGCCCATATTTTATTTTGTGGTATAAGACCAATTGCCGTTTCACCCTAGGGTATTGTTAATAGGTAGTTAAGATAAAGATAATTATTACTATTGGAACCACATTACTACTAGCCCAGGCTAAGCTCACTCCCTTCCTTTAGTGTAGTTAATATCGTTTATTATAAAAAAAAAAAAAAAGGTAAACTTGGAATTTTATAAATTGTATGACATCACTCATAACAATAATAGACTTCGGAATCTGAATTTTACCTCTCTCCAAAGAATTAAATTTTACCAAAATGAGAAATTGAATTCCTTATTTCATGTAGACGCCCGTTTTAATTCCTCCTTGTCTAATAAACAGATGAATACTCATTAACCATAACCCAACTTATTGTCTTCATTTTCATTACGAATTAGTAAACATACCATTAGTGCTTCGATTTGAAACGATAACATCTCCAAAAATGCCCAATCCCCCAACCTCCATATTTGAAACCAATGAAAAGAAGAGGAAGAAGAAGCCTTGACTTTGAGAAGACACATAATTGTTGATACAAAAACACCTAGGCACTTTGAGAAGTTTTATTTTTTGGTTAACAAAGAAAGTTGAATCCTCTAGTACAACCAAACCCATTACAATAAAAAATAAATCAAAGATTAACAAACCAACTAGAAGATCCCACATCGCCTAAGGGAGTGGATCCTGTAAACCTTATATGTATATTCCCGTCTCTACCTAGCACGAGGCCTTTTGAGAACTCAGTGGCTTCGGGTTCTATTGGAACTCTGAGATTAAGCGAGATCGTGCAAGAGCAATCCCATGATGGATGACCCACTGAGAGGTTCTTGTGTGAGTTTCCAGAAACAAAACGGTGAGGGTATGGTCGGGGCCCAAAATGAACAATATCGTGTTACGGTGGAGTCGAGCTCGGGATGTGATGGGGGTTCGGGTTGGGATGTGACACCAACACTAGTAATAGCCATCCGTTATAAAGTTTACCTCACGATAAATATGATTTGAATTCACATGGTGAAACAAGGACGCTAGACAATGGCTATCTTCAATAATAGCTCTGAGCCTCCATGGTGTGCAAGACTTGTTCTGAACTGCATCAATAACCAACTTGGAATCTACCTCCACACTGATCTTCAGAAATCCCTTTAATTTTACAAACTTGAGAGCATACTGTAACGCTAACGCCTCAACCACAAAAAATGTATATTCTCCAAAATTCCTAGCACCAACCTCATTTTGAATCACAAATCTAGCAGCAGCAAAGCTTCTAAAAACAGACCCATTAAGTATAAGTATACACCTATTTATATAGTAAATAATAAATTAAATAAAATAAAACAATTGTGGAGGCGCATGCCCTTCTCGCAGGCCATCTACCGCCTAGCAATATTTAGAATCATGTTCCAATCTTTTTTTAAAATGATAAAATATTTATCATCTACTTTCAGTATACCTTAAATCAAATATTAGAGATCAAATGGGGCCTAAATTATGTTATGTATGTTGGAAAATAAAAAAGAAAATATTTAGGATTTGATTTAATTAGTGATTTTATATGATTTAATTAGGGTTTTGATATGATTTGATTTGGTCTAGGTTTCCTTGTCTTGTAGACAAATGATTCTTTTGATTTATTTTCTAGTAGTGCTCATTTGTAATCTTATAAATACTTCCTTATGGAGAAGAATAAATTTTTGAAGTAGTATTTGAGAATTGTGAGATTGTAGAGAATTCTAAATCTACTCTAAACCCTTTATTTTCAACCTGGTATCAGAGCAGAGTTCGATTCTTGGTTGCACTTTGCAATTAGTGCTTCCCTATGGGTGAACGAAGCTAATTTTCTTCGTGCACCCACATGCTATGAACCTGAGGGTGAAGATTTTCTACAATTGTTAGAAGAAGATAAATTTCTGCTACCATGAAGAAGAGAAAAAGGAGGAAAAAAAAAGATGGGAAGTGTTATTGGCACTCCAAAAATCTCATTTTACACTCCTCATAGGTGTATTTTTCTTTCCTAATATAGAAAGTTTGGAATGTAGAATGAGATTTTTGGAGTGCTAATAACAATTCCCAAAAAGATATTTAAAAAAAAAGGAGATATTTGGTGATTGGGGCTTCCGAAAAGAGGCGTTAGTTTCAGTTGGGCTTTCGAAAATATTAGCGTTTGTTCCAACTAGACTTTCGAAAAGTGATGTTGGTTCCAACATATCAAGAGATTTATTTATCGGGCTTTCAGAAAAAGACATTCATTCCAATTGGGATTTTGAAAAGATTAGCATTAGTTCCAGTTGGGCTTTCGAAAAGAGGCGTTAGTTCTGAAGATTATGGTTTGTTCGTCGGGCTTTCGAAAAGAGACGTTTGTTCTAATTGGGCTTTCGAAAAGATTGGCGCTAGTTCCAATTGGGCATTTGAAAAGAGGCGTTAGTTCTGATAGATTGTGATTTGTTGAGCTTTTGAAAAGATTGGCGTTAGTTTCAGCGTATCAATGAAGATTTCCTTCTTGACAAACTCATGATTTCACATCATGAGTTTGAGATGGGGTGTTGGAAAATAAAAAGGAAAGTATTTTAGGATTTGATTTAATCAATGATTTTATATGATTTAATTAGGGTTTTGATATGATTTGATTTGGTCTAGGTTTCCTTGTCTAGTAGACAAATGATTGTTTTGATTTATTTCCTAGTATTGCTCCTTTGTAATCTTATAAATACCTCCTTATGGAGAAGAATAAATTATTGAAGTAATATTTGAGAATTGTGAGATTGTAGAGAATAAATCTACCCTAAACCCTTTATTTTCAACTTTGTAAGGTGCCTTGTATGCATGTAAACCTAAATTATGTCACTTCAACAAGTTAGAGTTTTATATGATTTCACTGAGTATCAAAGGACTTGATTAGTAGTATCGTCTCAAACAATGAGAAGAGATTAAAAAGAGTAATGCAAGAGAGATCAAAATTTTAAATCAAATGATGTGTCACTACTAAGAAATAAACACGTTAATCAACGCTTAAATAATAATTCAATCATCAATCATCACATCATTTAGTTTGCAAATTTAATCTCCCTAATATTATCTGGTTAAAAATATGCATTTTTGGTCAAACTATTTTGCCTCAATTTTAATTTTGGGCAAAACGATTTTGTTTATGTCAATTTTATCGTACTAAAAAACTATTGATTATGTATACACACGCTAAAGTCATATGAACGTATGAAACGGGTATAAATGAAGATGTTTCAGGCCAAGACGTATGAAAAAAAGCGTATACTAGTCTAATCTTGAAATTAAGCTACCTTGAACAAGAATTTTCCAACACTTGTCGTTGTTCAGATCACAATCTAGTTTAATTGTCATTTTATACGCGGAGTCTAGAGTTTGAAATATGGAACCCCGGCAGTTTTGGGGTATATTAATGGATCTCAATGACTTTTCAAGGAAATTGGAAATGCCGACGATGGCTACAAGAGGGGTGCTGACTTGGTCCATCTTTCTACAGTGATCAAATCTTTAATACGCAACACAATAATAAATTCCCTACATAACCACCACAACAAAACACAATAATACTTACATAAGAACCATCGGTGCGTATCTGCCACAATGAAAACTACTTTTGAGAAATTAAGAACTCGTTTTGAAATATTTTTAAACTGATTGAAAACGTTTTTTTTGTTTTTTTTTTTTTTTTTGTGAAATTTTTTTGAAACTAATCCTTAGTAAAAATTCAAGTAGATCGTGAAAAAGTATTTTAAGTGTTTCCTGCAAGAAGCAAGAAGTACATATTTGGTAGTTCTTCCAAAAAACACTTATTATGATTTTAGACTTCAAAGTCAATTTCACTAAAAGCACTTTCAATCATTTTACAAACACTTTCAAA